CAGTGTGCACTATGGTACCGATCTCTTTTTTCCTGTCAACGGCTTAGGGCCTGGTGACCTGAAGGAGTGTCTCCTTCCATATGTGCCTGCCTGCCCCTTATGATCTGGGGTAGACGCTATTCTCCGGGTGCCCTCCCTGAAAGAGATTAGGGGGGTGACTACCCAGAGAAGGGCCTTTTCTGCTGTGGCACCCCAATTCTGGAATCCGCTCCTCAGAGAGGCTTGCCTGGCACTGGCACTTCATTCTTTTTGGTGCCAAGCCAGAACCTTTTCATTTTCCCAATATTTTAAGACCTGATTGTTTTAACTGGGGTATTGTTATCAGTTAAATGTTAGGACACTGTGTTTTAATTAATTTTTAAAAACATTTGGTATTGTTAAACTGTCCTGAGGCTTCGCTAATGGGATGGTCTACAAAAGTTCTAAATAAATAAATAATGTGATTTAAATAAATATACTAAATAAATAAATCGCTGGGATGCAAATAGAATAAATAAAATATTGCAGACACAGTCGTATTATTGATAACTCTGTTGATTCTCCTCTCAGTGGCTTTTGACCCCACCGACCATGGTGTCCTTCTGGACAGGTTGGCTGGGATGGGAATCGGAGGCCTTTACAGCATGCGGCTCCGCAGGCTCTTTGTAATCTCCCATGCTTTTTAACATCTACATGAAACCGCTGGGAGAGGTCATCCAGAGGTGTCAGCAATATGCTGATGATACCCAGGTCTACCTCTCGTTTTCATCTGATCCAGGTGAGGCTATCTCTGTCATAGACCAGTGCCTGGACTCGATAATGGACTGGATGAGGGTCTTAATCTGGACAAAACAGAGGTGCTGCTGGCAGGGAGTCTGCCCAACAGAATGGGTCTGCCCACACTCCCCCCAGGGACAGAGTGCCTAGTTTGGGGGTGTTCCTGGACCAGGTCTGTCCTTGGAAGCACAGGTGGACTCCATATCCACGTGTGCCTTCCTTCAACTATGCCAAATTTACCAACCAAACCCCTAACTGGACGGACAGAGCCTGAGGACAGTCAACCATGACCTGGTAACATCCAGAATAGACTACTGCAATGTTCTTTACATGGGGCTGCACTTGAAGGCGGTCCAAAAAGTGCAACTGGTACAGAATCGAGCAGTGAGGTTGATAACAGGTGCGCCTCTCAGGATGCACATTACCCCAGTGCTCAGAGATTTGCACTGGTTACCAGTTGCTGCCCGAGCCTAATTCAAGGTGCTTGCTCTGACATGTAAAGTCCTAAATGGATTAGGGCCCGGCTACCTGAAGGACCGCCTCCTCCCATACAAACCTGCCAGGTGGTCCTTCTACAAGTGCCATTCCTCAAAGAGGTGAGGGGGATGACAATAGAGGAAGGGCCTTTTTGGTGGCTGCTCCCTGCCTCTGAAATAGCCTCCCCTGGGACGTTCACCTGATGCCATCTCTATTACAGTTTCAGTGCCAGGCAAATACTCTCCTTTTTAATATCTCTTTTAGTAATTAATCCTGCCCTCCCCTGCACTGCTGCTGTGTCTGGCTATTATTGTTAGGTTATAAATTTTTATAATGAAGTTTTTATTCTTTATTTCATATGCATTTTTATCTTTATATATGTGTTTTATGCATTTTTATCTTTGCCTTTATTGTAAGCTGCCTTGAGTCTACCTTAGTAGGTGGCATATAAATGAAAGTATAAATACAATACATAAATAAATAAATAATTCCATGCCAACTCAGGGCAGTAGCTGTGCTTCTGTCAAACCAGAGGTCTTCGCCTGCCTATCAAGGCCTTCAGTGTTACCTGGCTGGAATTAGGACGTGGAAGAACTGTAGCAGGTAGCAACTCCACGAGTGCTGAAGCCAACATATAGATTTCATGTCACTAGAAAATGCCCCAAGGAATGGCAAGATAGACCTTGTGAGCTAACCTATCCAGACAAATTGAGCCAAGGTGATTCATGGGGACTTGATGGGGGGAATTTGTGCTGTCTGGCAATACATCCTAGTTTACAGATCAGTCTCTTAGATTGTAATTCTAGGCACACCTACTTGGAATTAAATCCCATTTTATTTAACGTACTTCTAAGCCACTTTAGGAATTTGTGTATCCTAAAAAGTAGTCTTAAATTACTGTACACAAATAAAGCAGATAGACTTAGGACTGTCCTGTTAACCACAATGTTCTACTACTGCACTAAAGGAAAAGGTTATTTTTTTTCTAGCCAGCTGAGCATATTTTCTTAATTTGTTGAAGCTGAAACAGAAACTACACCAGGATTTTCAGCTGGCCTTGTGCCACAACATGGTAAAACTGATTCCAGAATCCTAGAATGTTGGTTACTCACAGAGAGAGTGCACTGAGTACATGCTAGTCATCTAAGTAATGTGTTTGCATGGAAAAAGAAGCAAAACAGTTCTGCAGAAGTAACATCTAGAATTATCCCAAGGAAAATTGTATGCATGTACCCCATGCCTGGTAGAAGCTACTGGATTCTTCTGTAGTGGGATAGTCAGCATTTGCAAAACTACATATTTACCCACTGCCAATTCTGTTTAAGGCTAATGCTAAGACAACCAGAGGGATTACAATGAATTGGAAATAAAAATGTACAGTGATCCAAGGAGAATTGGGGAAGCTGGCAATAATAAATTAATCCAAACTGATTGAGAGCTGTAGGTCTGATGCCAGCCAATACTGCGTAATAGTTAGACTTAAAATTTTTGGAAGGAAAGTATGTTGGCAGTCTTTGATTTATGTCCGACTATAGAAAAACTGGACAGAATGCATGTTTTTTTTTGTCCTGCCGCCTTGTTTTTTCCCTTTGGAACAAAGCAAGAATTATAGTCAAATAAGAGTGTGCATTGTTTATAAGAAGGAGCTCTGGTATAATTGGAACCATACTATTCTGATTACATTTCATAATTATCTTCTGCTGCAGACTCGGTTACAAGCTGGGCAGGGATATAGAAGCACATTTCACTGTGTCCTCACTGTGTATAGAAATGAAGCGGTAAGTACATTCTTTTGTTGGGATCTACACATACAGACGGAATGGGACCGTTTGCATCTCTGCGCTGCTGATCGAGCCTTCCAAGCCCTCCTACTGAATGTCATTTGACTGCATTTGGCATTCAGAAAGTTCAGCACATTCTTCAGCTGGAATTCAGGCCCGGAATGCTTGAGCTGATCTAGAGTGGCCGGGTGCTCCTGTGCAGGCCTTTCTCCTTCCCGGGCTCTGACCCTTTCCTTTTATCACTTGATCTTTCTTCTCCACTCTCGCCTAGTGGGAGAAGATCGAGGCAAGCAAGAGCAGTCCTGCCGCCCCTCTGTTGTTTATTAGCCCTTCCCACCTTTTCTGTGCAGTAGACTACCTCCTCGCCCTTCCTCGTTGTCCAAACATGACCAGGGTGCTCCATGGTGTAAAGCTATTTCGGGGGTGGAAGACAGCACCATGGATAGCTCCTATAAAGCTGAACAGAAAAGCCACGATGGATGAGAAACCTCACCGACACCCAAGTCCCCAGCATATTTATTCATATTTGTTCATATATATCCTTGGTACCTTTCCTCCGCTTCTTTTCCAAAACATGCCTCTTTCAAATCTGAGCTTCTGTGTATGTATCCATCCTGATTTCTTTGTCCTTTTTTAATCTCCATTGGATTTGTTTGGGATTGTGCCTTCAATGTATTGCTTTTAAACTGCCATAGACCCATCTGGAACTCCCTTCTTCTTGACTATTTCCACATATGGGAGCCCACCTGCTATTTCCTTAAACATGTAAAATTGGGTTTCCTAGAATTCAAGCTGCGCATCTGACTATGCTCAGGTTTCCCTGTTCCTCCGCTTAATGGATTCCAGGAAGGCGTGGTCGCATCCAGCCATTTCCATTTCTTTCCACCAGCAACCCAACTTGTGTGCTTCTTCGGAAATAGAAGACTGGGGGCAACAGGACTTGTAGAGGAAGGCCAGAAAAGCTCAATGCAAAACTGCTATATAAGTGTGAAGGCTGACTATGCAGAATATTGAACCCGAGTGGTCTCCTTCCTATGTTAGTCCAAGGTAGACTTACTTGTTGGCAAGTGGCAGCTCTAAGCAGCAGCAATGGTGAATCCATGAGCTACCGTATACATTTCCCCCGGTGCCCCAGACCAATGCTACAAGAGGGCATTGTTGAAAATCCCCATGATGCTTCAGGTTGGCCAATGTGAACAGAAAGGTGGGAAATGGGGGCAGGCATCTGTGTGTGGTGGGCCCCAGCAGAAACCTGGAGCCTTGGCAGCTGCCCAAAGATACCAGAGGCTGACAGTGGTCTTCAAACAGGCCAGCAAACTAGACAGACCTAGTTTGGAATGAGACTGCTTCACAAATGCAAATGATTGTATGCACACTGTATACTTTTCTCATGCTGGTAAGATCAGACAGTGAATAGTAAAGGTGGTGATTTCAATGATTTAATTGTACAGAAAATGCAAATTGTTAATAGTCTTTGACTTCTACAACCAAGTTTCAGTCCAACATATACTTTTGACATTCTAAAGTCAGAAATCTGCTCTCTCAATTGTGTTTTTTATTTTAAGATAGAAATAAAGCCAAGGCAGAGGTTTTATTTTAGAAAGTTACATTTACTAATTAAAATGCCTTTTCTCCTTATGCTTTGTATGTGATAAGCATGGAAGCGATTGTAATTTTGCCCAATCTTTACTTTTATCTTCGGAAGTGCATCCTCTCTGTCTCTAGGCACACCTGATCACATGCAAGGATCATCTATCACTCAGTTGGCAATTTTCAGTCAAAGCCATCCCCATTTTTCATTTCATCGGTGTTTCCCCCACTCCCTGTCTAAAATTTGTCCCAGTATAAATAGGACAAGAAAACTCATGTAGGTAGTCTAAATACATGAGTTGTCTTATCTTAGTAAAGTTATCACTTCAGGCTTTCGTGAAAGTGAAATTAAATCCAATCTTATTTACATCCTACTCTATTTTTCCGCAGATTTCTGGGTTCTTTAAGGGAATGTCTTTCCCTCTAGTCAGCATTGCTGTGTACAACTCCATGGTATTTGGAGTCTTCAGCAACACCCAAAGGATTATTAGTCAACATCGCTATGGAAATTCTAACCATCCTCCAGCACTCACGGATTTGGCTTTAGCAAGCATGGTTGCAGGGGCCTTTTCTGTAGGAATTGGCGGTCCAGTTGACCTGATAAAAATAAGGCTACAGATGCAGACACAAAGTTTTCTTGAAGGTAAGAATCCAAAGGTTTGGTGATTTTAAAAAAACTTTTATGTTTGTGGTTCTAATATATTTTATTTGCCCTCATATTTAGAACTAAGCTGAAATTCACCTCAGGATTTTTTTTTCCTAAGAAGTATATAGGATTTTTTTTTTTAACCCCCACTTCCAAATCTGGAAAAGAAAGTCACTTTGAAGAATTGCCCACCCAAATACAGTGGTACCTTGGCTCACAAACAGCTCAGTTCATGACCAAATCAGGTCATGAACAGAAATTTCGCAAAAAAAATTGCCTCAGGTTGCAAACTCCGCATCAGGTGACGACCACAATCACGCCCCATCTTCCCTGCATGAGCATCACCGTGATCACGGCCATCTTCCCCTCTCCCTGAGCACAATCGCTATCGCATGATTATCATTTGAACTCTCCCTCCAAACAATAACCTCCCCCGCACCTAGGTTAGTGTTCTCTACGGTACTGTACTTTGTTACTTCGTTGTTCTTTGTCACTTTGTTTCACATTTTTGTGATTAAAAAAAATATTTACAGAACAGATTAACCTTATTTACATTGAACCTTATGGGGAAATTTGGCTTGGCTCGCAACCAATTCAGGTCGCGACCAGAGTCGCGAAATGGATTAAATTCGTGAGCCGAGCTACCACTGTAATCTCCACCAGTTTTCGGCAGTGGCTGCCATCCGCTGCCCACTCCATATGCATGTTCACCCAGTCCATCACAGATACCACAGAACAACACATGGGGCATTCTGGGGGAAGCAACATGGTGGCCTGGCCGTCAACTCATGGGCTGCTCTTGCCGCTTCCGAGAAGGAGGAGGGAGAGAATGGAAGGCATTAGCTACCTTGCTGTCACTGCTGCTGTTGAACCCAGCCTATGAGAAGCCGTTCGGGAATCTTGAGCAATGTGATGGCGTTGTCCTCCCACAAATAGTTACAGAATTCAAGGGGCCATTTTAGTGCAGTTCTATTTATAATGGCATTTCAGGGCTGTTATAATTAAATGTGATTCACTGACTCATATGGAACATTGAGGTACATAACCACCTACAAAATTGGCGGCAACACTACAGCTAGATATTCCACTCAGAAAGATGTAACCGATGTCCCTTCAATTAGTCAAGAAGAAGAAAAGTTGCATTGAAAGATGGTGGAGGCAGCATCAGCTTTGAGAGCCAGAATATGATCACCTGGACTAGAGGCAATCATGTCATATCTTTGACATTAAGGGTACGACTACACGTTATGTTTTGTAGTGTGTTGCCCAGATTCGTCTCTTTTTTAATTTTAGGGTAAAGGACAGGGCCAGCATGCACCCAGAGGGGAAACTTCCTCCCCACCTGTTGCCTTCCAAAAATCCCCCTTCCTACACACACACACACACAAATACACACCCACAAACCGCAGGGATGAAAAAAGAGAGAATAACAGCCTCCATCGATCAAAGGAGACCTTTAAAAAAACCCCAATTTTAAGAGAAGCAAATGGGTGGGGAAAGATTTAACTCACCCTCCATGTGCGTTCATGTTCTCATCCAAGTTGGGGCCACACGCAATTGCTCTATCTTGAAAGAAAATAGGCACAACTACACATCACACAGCTAATGTAATGCATAATTTGATCTTGGTACCTTCCAAGTTATGTATAGGAGACTAAATTTAATATGATGATGTGAAAGGAAAATAAATACCACCACAGCATATGCCATATCTGCAGTTGCTTTCTGAAGTCTGATATGTTTGCACCTAAGTACCAAAATGGACATGTAAGTGCCATAGCACTGAATCAGTGTTGTGTGGTGGTTAGTATGTTGGACTGGAGAACGGAGAGCTCTGGGTTCTAGTCGCCGCTCAGCCATGGAGCCACCTGGGTGACTTTGGGCCAGTCACAGACTCTCAGCCCAGCCTACCTCACAGGGTTGTTGTTGTAATGATAAAATAGCTATGTAAGCCACCTTGGGTTCCTCACAAGAGGAAAATAGGTGGGTATAAATGTAATGTAGTAGTAGTAATAGGAAATGCCTGTTTTTAAAGGAGAACCTAGATATAGTGGGCAATATGGAAACACAGCAGGATGGTGAGAACCAGTGTAATATGGTTATCTCTAGATAAAAGCTGTATAGGAAGGACAGAGAAGGGTGCACCGGCAGAGATCTTGCCCTGAATGTCAAAACAGGCACAGAGTCCATCTGACCTGAAAATCTAAAAAGGGGAGACTCTTCCACAGAAACACTGTGGATGACAATGCCTGGCTCCAAAACCAATTTAGTGCTTGGCTCATCCTATTGTTCCTACTGTGTCCTTACATTGACTGGAGAAATGCAAGAGCCAGTCATGACAAAGAGGTTAGATTTCCATAATAATAAAAGCTTATATAGAATGTACGCTAGAGGTTATTGGGGTTATCAAGTACAGGAGGTTACCAACATGGTTAGCAAGAAATGTCAGGGAGGTTATTTAAAAAAGGGAGAGAGATCCTGCAGAAATGTAAGTATTACTGAAAGTGAGAAAAACAAAAGGGAGCTTGCAAAAAGGAGATGCAAGCAGACGAGAAGAGAACATATTGCTAACAGCATCAAGGTCAGCAATACAGAATTCTTTAAATGTATCAGAACCAGGAAACCAGCTAGGGATACAGCTGGATGACTGGATGATAATGGAGTTAAAGGAGTACTAAACAAGGATAAGGAGAATGCAGAGAAACTGAAAGAATGATTTTCCTTTGTCTTCATCTCAAAGGATACAAGACAGAAATCTATGTCTTAACTTATATTTTCAGAGAGGGAGTCTGAACAATAGAGCAAATAGAGGTGACTAAAATGAATTCTCATTCTCACTGACAAACTGAAAGTTAATAAGCCACTGGGCCTAGAGTTCTTCAAGAACTCTAATATGAAATTGCTGGTCTTCTATCAAAAATATGTGACATGTCCCTAAAATCAGCCTCTTTAGCATAGGACTAGAAAACAGCCAATGAAATACCAAGTATAACAAGGGGAGCCAGGAAATTACAGACCAGTTACCTTTTGCTCCAGATAAATTGGTTGAAATTTTTATTAAAGATAAAATTAGTAAGTATATAGGAGGACAAGCCCTGCTGAAAAAGAATCAACATGGCTTCTACAAAGGTAAGTCCTGTTTCCCTAACTTTTTAGAGTTCTTTGAGAGTGCCAGCAGGAACATGGATGGAGTGTTACAGTTGACACTTTACTTGGACTTCCAAAAAGATTTTGACACAGGGCATTACCTTAGACTTAAGAGAAAACTGTGCAGTGATGGAATAAGATAAGAGGTCCCCTTATGGATTGGAACAGAAGGCAGACAGCTAAATTTCCTCAATGAAAGCAAGTGAGCAGCAGGGTCCTACAGGAATCTGTAGTGGGTCTACAGTTTTTCAACTTATTCATAAACGATCTAGAATTAAGAGTGAGCAGTGAAAACCTAGGTGTGTTGATGACACTAAATCACTTAAGGTGGTTAAAATGAAAAGGTATTGTGAAGCGCTCCAAAAGAATCTCTCCAGGCTGGGAAAATGGGCATCAAAACAGCATGTGCAGTTCAGTGTAAGCAAGGCCAGTATTGGGGAAGAGAACTGGGGAATCCTCAAAGAAAAGAGAATTAATGAAAAGAATTTTGGCTTCTGTTAGCTGTTTTGGGACAGGTGCAAGGGATCAAGTATATTAACCAGGGGAACAGCAGCAAAATGTTATCACACAGCATGTTCTACAGTTCAGAAATTTAACTGAACTGTAGAACTGAATTTAACTGAATTTGAGGAAGACCTCAATGAATTGGAAAGATGCTTCTAATTAGAAATGGCTAAGCACTTTCCCACGTGAATGTGGAAATACTGTCCTCGTGGCATGTGATAGGAGAGACATGGGACTTCACTGCATGATGCATTTCTGTGCATACATCAGTCATGGTAGTTTTGAGGGCTGGGGTGTTTCATGACATCATCCTCCAGGACCTCTTCCATGCTTTGCAACCATTTCCACATCTCTTTTTAGACTGAGGAAAGTGAGGTATTTCACATGAACACAAACTCAGATATTTTCTCAGTCCTGCTGTCCTGCAGAACATACAGGAAAGGTAAAGAAAGGAAAACCCTGGGGAGAGGGAAACACCTGTAAAGGAGGCAGTCTTAGTCTCACAAAGAATTGGGAAGCAGAAGCCCCCGTCAGTGGGTGGGCTGAAGGCTTGTGTGGAGAGGACCACAGTGAATGCAAGGAACATTGTGTGAGCTCATTCCTCTTGTACACAGAAAGGCTTGTTTTAGCTCTTTGCCTCCAAATATTTGAGCAGCAGTTGATGTTACAAAAAGCATCATCATCTTCATCCTGGAACATGCGTTCCCTTGGAACAAAGTCCGAATCCAGAACTAAAGTGAGGTTGCTTTGGAGGGGTTTCACCTTGGTCTGGAGTGAGGTAGGACCATCCAGAAAGCCACATGGATTGAATCAGGCTGCTCCTAAAACCCTGGCCCCACCTCCATTTTTTCAAGCAAAGTGATTGACTTACATGACGAAATGAACAAAAGGGTTTCAGCACATATCCATAGTAGTATTTCAATAATTAAGGCATGACCAGGAATTCTGAGAATTGTAGTCCAAAACATCAGGAGCACAGGACCAGAGATCAGGCCACACTGCATACAAAGGGTCTGCTAAGCACGCTTTCATTCCCTCACAGTGGATTCAGCAGCTCTTAGAGCAAAAAGCAGCACAAAGGCAGAAAAACTGGAAAACAGGAACAGCAACCTTTTAAACAATTGTTGGTTATCTGATGTTACAAATCTTTCTATTTGCTTCTGTAGCCAACCTAAACTTAAAGCACAGGACAACTGGATTTTCGGTCCAGACTGCCTACAGAGGTCCAATTCATTGCGTTGGCTCAATCCTTCGGCAGGAGGGTTTGGCGGGATTATACCGGGGCTCAGCTGCAATGCTTCTGCGGGATGTTCCTGGATATTGCCTCTACTTCATCCCATACACACTTCTCTGTCAATGGATCACTCCAGAGGGCTGCCTCTCTCCCGGTCCTTTTTCTGTGTGGCTGGCTGGCGGCCTTGCAGGTATGAACATTTCTGCTCTCCTTCACCAGAAATCATTTCTATGCATTATTACAGTCCTAAATTACCCACCTTGTCTCTCGAACTCACCAGCCCCACCTCAGCTGTGTTTTCAGTCACACGGCTGGAGGGAAAGTGGGGAGAAGGCTTACAGAGGGCATACGAAGGATTCTGTCTGAGCTTCACATCAGTCAGGACCAGTTTGGTAACAGATGCTGAGAAGCTGCGCTTGGGGCAACCCCAAATCATTTGGTGTTACAAATATGATTCCTCCTGGCGCCCCATACAGTTTTCCACATGCACCTGAAGTGGCAGCTGAATCTCACCTCAGTGCAGGCAGTAGGGCAGCACACCTGAAGCTGGTCGAACCGCTTAGGGGGCAGAAGGCAGGCTGCATAGTCCACTCCGCTTTGGCCCTCAGTGGTGCCTGCTTGTGATGAGATGAGGGCTAATCCCCTGAAGCTCAGACCAGACAAGGCCGAGCTGCTGTTAGCGGGCGATCCCTCTGTTTGGATGGAAGGTATGCAACCTATCTGGATGGGGTTGCCCTTCCCTTCACGGAGCAGGTTCACAGCTTGTGTGTATACGTGCGCCGGGGGGTGGGGTGTCTTTGAGTCACTTCCAGCACTTGACCTCAGTGCCTCCTGCCAGCTTTGTGTGGTGACCCAGCTATGCCCCTATCTGGACAGGGATAGCCTGGCAATCTCGAACACAGCACTGCAGTGCAGTCTGCATGTGGCCACCCTTGAACACTGCTCGGGAAGGGGAGTTCATGCGAACAGGGCAGCCAGCACCACCAAGTCTGAGCACGCAGCCCCAGCTCTTGGCTGCTTTTAATGGTAACTACAAGCAGGTCCAGTGCGGGCTTTAACTTAAAAATGAGGCCCTGCTTAGGGACTTTTGTGAATCGTGCAGAGAGATGTGGGGAACTGGGGGGAAGAGCCGTAGCTCTTGAAGAAATGATGATGAACGGCTCACCTTGAGCCCCCCACCACTCAGGTTCTGGTGCCTGGGGCAGCAGCATTGCACTGCCCTGAAAGGAAGTTCAGGAAGAGGTGCTTTCTGACAATCACCGACATGAAAGTGATTTCTTTGGCACGGCTCTAATCTGCACTGCACATTATGGTGTCCCTCCCACCTGCTTGCTTTATCTCTTGGAAGAGAATGGAAAGTTTCAGTAGTCTCTCGAAATTGCTCAATGTAGCTAAAGTATTTCTTTTAACAAGTCTTAACCATACACTTCTTCAGGCTGGGTTTTCCCTACTTTTTCAAAGATCAGATAAGGAATACAGAAGTGACTCTGTTTTGCACGGGTGATTGGATGTTTCCCGTTCAAATGCTTTGGACCGCCACTCCCATCTCCCCCAGCCAGCATGGCAAGTAGTGATTGATGATACGTGTAGTCTAAAGCTTCTGGAAGGCATCTCACTGAACAAGCCTGATTGAGAATGTGTGATGGGTGTGGGTGTGGGTGTGTATGACCCATTCTTATCACAAGTAACCAATAAGTAAAATTAAAATGTGTGTGCAGCAGGAAGTCAAATTTATACCAGTGGGTAAGAGAAAAATGGGAAGGGTTTCCCTGCTCCTCACAGTTTACTATTAGCCATTTTAATCTGAAACAAAGGCAAATTATTTTAAGAGCACACCATTCACTCAACCAGGACTTGTCAAAGCTTCAGTCTGTCAAACCAGCATTATATTGCACTGCCATTCTCCTTTCAAGTTGAAGAATTCTGTGTTTATTTTCTGTATGACTCCAAGCAAAATAACAACAGAGTCACAGACAGCAAGACCAATCACAAATCCAAGGAACAGCAGTGTAAAATCATTCATTTTAATGAGGGGGGTTATTATTATTGCTATTATTTTATTGCATGCATCAGCAGCTTGATGAAATTAGCCAGTAGATGGAGATCAAGTCACACATACACAGCTAGCAAATTGGAATGGTTTGCAAGGATCATTGCAATATATTCTGTTACATCCCTATTTCTAGCAATACTTTTGATCCAGGACCAATTTTACATTACCATGCTAGATGTATTCACAATGCAGAGCACTTCTTTCATTCCAAATATTTAGGTTACACAACACTTTTCAAAATCATTTTGTTTCAGTCCAACCCTACAAGCTGATTTTAGTGGAAGCAGCACCCTATACCTGGAAGCCTTGGTAGAACTGCCAGCATCTTTCACCAGGAATTCTTCCTTCTCCATATGTCTCATTTATAGCTGCATAGTTTCAGAGAGGGCAAATTGCCCCTTTGAATGGAAAGTACCCCAGACCTCAGGTAGGACCAGTAAAGGCAGCTGCTACTGCAGGGCCAGACCGTAACAGAGTTGGGAGCAGTTTTATTTACCTGTCTGCCTTACTCTGGACTCCAACCCCATATCACTGTTTCTCCAAGCGCTGAGATTCTTGCTGGAGCTAACTGTGTGCACATTTTCTTTGACTTATGTGTATCTATTGAACTTCTCCTGAATTTCTTAAGACACAATGTTAGTGATGTTTAGAAAAAAGACTGTCCTACGGTTCCCAGCATTCCCTAGCCATGCTATATGGCTAGTTAGGGAATGGTGGGACTTGTAGGGCTTTTTGCTATCAAAAGATAACACGGGATTGCAGCTTTAGTGATCCAATTCAGGGAGAGGGAAGGTGCTGCCACTTGACGATGGCGATATTGGCAGAGCTGATGGACACGGCAGTCCAACACATTCCTCACTCCCATTCTGTGTTACTGAAGGGCAGAAGTCCAAGTGAAGATGTTTAATCTCAGTAATGATTTTAACACCTTGGCACTGATTCCCTTCAAAACACCAGCTTGCATGAAAACACAGTAGTTACTGGTTAACATGAGTAGATCTCTAGAATTTCACAACACCAGGTGCATCTGAAGTACATTCCTCAAAGCCACTGCCCTGTAGACGAGGACATGGGCTGATGGAAAAAGCCACCCGTTTATTTGTCGCATACATCCGAAAGCTGAGAAACTTCCGTGCAACACCAAGGAAACTGGTACTGTGTCTTGGCCACCGTCTGCAAACTTGCCAATATGCAGCCTCACTCATTCCATCTGTAGCATTCTTCATCTTGGCATACCATTTGACAGCTGAAACTGGCAAGGAAGTTAACTGACAAAACTCTACATAACAGGCAGCCATAAGGACATTTGAGGCTGAGAAAAATAATTTAAATTTAAAAAGCAGAAACACAGTGATAAAGAGAACCCTTCTGCTCTTTTCTGGGGCTTTGAAAAAGCAGCGGTGGAGAGCTAAAAGGTGCAGCAATATGAACAGGGTGGGGGAAGCATGGCAGCTTCGGTCACGGGGGACACTGGAGACACGCCAGAGCCTGCTGGAGGCCTGAGGGGGAAGTGGGGAGAACCTGGCATGGCCTGCCCAGTTGCCTGTCGGGGTGCCAGGGACAGCCAACTCCCGATGGCTTATTCATGGGGAGCCACAGCCAGGGATAATTATCTTAAAAATAGCCATTCACAAAACATTTGTCCACTGCTCACACAGACACCCTTACATCATGCACTGATTAACAAATGCCGTGTAATAAGAAGACTTGTTTAAGTTGTCCAGCTTAAATGTTGGAGTTCTTGCAACAACGGACTACATAATGGGGCTACTCAGCACAAGGCATTGATTGTGTGCTCATGGAAGTGTGCTCATGGAAGTTTTCATGATGTCATTGTGCGCCATGGCTTCTCCCAAATGTTCTAGTTTTTTTTTTATGTGTGTGTGTGTGGGGGGGGGGGGTTAGAGTAAGGAAAATCTAATTTTTAATCCCTCCAACCCTGAACAAAAGCCTCATGAAAAGGTGGAACGCCACAATACTGCAGCTATACCATACTGCCACCTTGTGGCTCCTTAGGAGAATATATAGAAAAGCTGAGAAATGCAAACCACAGAAAACGCAGGATGTAACATAGAAGCAAAGCCTTTTCTATCTTCTTCTCCCTCTCCCTCTTTTCCATTTTAAACTCTTTTTGTTACCGCAGGAAAGGGGTGGCAGCGCTCCTTGCGGTGCCTGGACCACTGAGCCCTCCAGTGCCGCTATGGAGCAACTCTGGCTTCCTTCTGGGGTACTGCTGGGGAGCATCATGGCTGCCCAAAGGCAAGAGGTAGCAGCCGTCTTTCTCCTAACAACACCTCTGCAAGATGCCGTCCCTCATGTGATGGCATCCTTCCACAGAGGCACTGTTGCAAGGCTTTCAGTTTCTTCCCACTTCTTATTATGGGTCCATGTTCAGGTTTTTCTCCCTTGAAGTATTCATTTATAATATACTGACTTTGCCCCACATCGTGTCTGTGTTAGGCTGAACATGGCAGGGGAAAATGTCCCTGGATATCTCTAGGAGTGCCGCCACGGCTTTCCTGAAGCAACAAAAATAGCTGACAAAAAGGTTTTGCTGCTCATGTTTACAAATACAGGTCCTCAAGCTGCAAAACTGGAAAGAATTTCACCAGCCTACTAAGGGCTGTGGGTTTCTTCAGCCAGTTGCTTTACCTCAACCTTACAAATGTGTGCGAAAGGTTCTGTTTGAACCTTTCAGCAGCACATCAAACAACCTTTCAGGAAACAGCCATCTAGCAAAATTGCAGAGCAGAGGTGCAGAAAAGGAAGATTGCGTTCACTGGTCCTCTTTCTGCACAGGGTGCCTGCAGTTGTCCGTCCACAGAGTTCAGAGGCTTAAGGGCATCCCAATTGGATTGTGCCTTTATGTCAGGCAGTTCAAGCAGTTGTGAACCCAACTCCATTGAACTTGGAAGCAAAATTCCCATTGCCTTCACTTAGAATTAAATTCTACTGTACTTTTATAGCCTGATTCTTAAATAATGTCACCATTCTCTTTAGTGAATGGGGTCGGAAGGTGGTTTGGGTTTTCTTTTCCTTTGTTTTGTTCTCCTAGGAGCAATATCTTGGGGAACTGCTACTCCTATGGATGTTGTGAAGAGTCGCCTTCAGGCTGATGGTGTTTATTTAAACAAATACAAAGGAGTCCTTGACTGTATCTCCCAGAGTTACCACAATGAGGGTCTAAAAGTAAGCACTGCTGAAATAATATCTCCTTGATATGAGAACTAATGTCTTGTAACAAACAGAATGTGAAAGTTTTCCCAGTTACAAATGTGAATGCATGATGTAAGTAGCATCACTGCCAAAAGTCACAGACTCTCAGCCCAACCTACCTCACAGGATTATTGTTGTGAGACTAAGATTGAGAGGAGGAGGATCGTTTAAGCCACCTTGAGTCCCTTGGAATGAAAAGGCGTGGGATAGAAATATTACAAATAAATAGTGATGTTCTGTGGCTTTTAGGGTACAGTCCAATCAGGATGCCCGTGGCTCAGAGGATTATGGGCAATCTATGCAGGGCGGGAGGAGCCCAGAGGTGAAGGCTGCCTCCACACTCCTTCTGCCCTGCCAGCTGTGGCCAGTGGGCAGGAGGAGCGGAAGCAGAGGCACTGCCAGGTGAACTGTATGTTGGCAGTGCCTGTGTCCTTCCCTCCCTGCCCCCAGGAACATCCTTAAACCGTGGCCCTAAGGTTGCACTTGCTACCTTGGCAATGCAGCCAGATTACTGTGTTCTGCACTGGCTGCAACAGATGAGGGTGGCCTGAGCATACATTCATTCAAAGCTCATAGCTGGTTCTCCAAAAAAATCCTGTGACCATTATGCTGTTACATAGTTTGGAAAGGGAACTGTAGGCGAAGTCCCTTGGGAATGATTAGCCCGGTTAGGTAAATGTTCTTTTCTCTGTTATTAACCAATGAAGTCCGTGATCAAGAGTAGCTAAGTACTCCTATGCCCAAATAATGCTGTTCAGTGCTAAAGAAAAAATAGCTCTGATGGATGGAATGCCCAGTCAAAAGTATAATTTGCATGTCATTTTCAGTGGTATTTCCCCCCCAGGGAATGGAATGGTCTGGAACAGTGGGTGGGGTGTGGGGGCACGGCCGTCTTCCGCTCATCCAGCAATAGCAACAAACAAAGGAGCCTGGCACCATAAAGATCTATTGCACGTAGGCCGATGCAAAGATTTTGTATGGCTTTTTTTGGGAGGGCACCACGAGACGGCCAGCATCATTGCGGTTCGCATGGAAGTGCCCGATCTTGATGAGCGGCAGGAGCAACCCACACACACCGGCCGCTCCTCCCGAGTGCTGCAAGTTGAGCTCCTGTACACCATGCGCAATGAGCTACTCCATCAGGTAGCATTACTCATTGGCGCACTGTAAAAAGAAGCGGGATGCAAAATGCTACACTAGCTGTGAGGTCCAATTTAGTCATTGGGGATGTTCTTTCTTATTTTTTTTTGTTTGCACCTCCTGAATTAGCACATTTTTCCTGGCCTCCAGGAGTGGTGGCATATGACAATAAAAAAAAAAAAAGTCAGATTTAAACAAAGCAGGTTACGTAACATGTCAGTGGCGCTACATCACTGAAAAGCATCGGTATGGCTCCTTATCGGTGACCTGTGGGACACATTTTCATGCAAGTCTAAACAGGGTGGATTTAAGGTGCTGGGTTGGAATAAATTCAATGTAACTTTTAATGTAATGTTAGAAGGACACACATGGAGAATCAATGGCCTGATTTCAGTGTCACCAAAACCCTCCAGAGTTTTTAAAAGCCCTGGCTTATTGCAAGTACAACATCATGGTGGTGCATATAACGGGAGTGGCTAAATGACCCAGGGAAGCTCCATCCTGAGCCATTTATTGTGATGTGCAAACTCAGAACTCTGGCTTGTTGCAGATGAGACAAGCCTGATTTGGAAAGGAAGGTTTAACCTGGGTGGTTGTTCTGTGTGAATCAAGCCCACATAAACCAGAGCTTGCTTCCACACAATTTAGGATGGCTGTTCCAGTGCTTGCCTCAATCATTATCTTACATTTTATCCCAGCACATCAGTACAATCACATTACGATGAATATGTTTGGTGCCAGCTTCGCTTTGCCTGCAGCCACTCACAGCTGTGTGAAAAGATATCATATCTCATCTCAATGGAAAATTGCCATTCCTCCTCTAGACAAATCTTCACGTAAAAGGAGAGTGATTGTTCAGCTAAAAGAATATGATTATCCACATCCAGAACATAGCAGTCCGTACCCACGTCAGTCACTGCTTCAACAACCGCAGGTGTGCGAGTGGGGAGGGCTGCAGGGGCCTTTCGGCCCAAGGGCCATGCTTTTTGCGCTCCAGGCTTACAATGTCACCTATACAGTTCGGACTGCCAGAATGCCTACTATGGCTTTTCCAATTAGGAACGGTCTCCTCTGGAGGTTAAACTGGCACCTATCTTAGCTAGCCTTTAGCACCAGGTGAAAATAACCCTTCCTTAAAACAGGCCTTTTTATTAGATGGTTGGAACCATGCATTACACCATGATAGTCGACAGACTGTGTACATAAATCATTTAATATTTGTGGTTGTTGCTATGTGCCGTCAAACTATCTCTGAGTTATGACAACCTTATGAATGAAGGCCCTCCTAAATGTCCTTTCTATGACAGCCCTGCTCAGCTCTTGCAAATTCATTTAATATTTACTAGTCGCATTTTTTAATTGTTTTCTAGGTCCTAATTACATACTGGGTAGGTTCCCATGTCTTGACAACCCACCCTGCAAATAAGCTACATAGATTAGGTTGTTTTGCAAAACCACCTGTAACTGGGGTCACTCGGGGTTGCTCTCCACCTCCAGCAGCCCATACTGCCAGCTGACACCCCAGGGGACTTGGCAGCTAAAGCCAGCTTTTCCTTTCCCCCCACTGTGGCTCGCCTTCCTCACCAAGAGTGCTTTCTGTAATCTCCAAGTTGACAGCCAATGACAGCCCCTTACAACTGCCCAGGCAGCACATTGGAGGGACTGCTCCTGGAATGCTATACTTTCTATTTTCCTCCAGTGTGTTCAAATATTTTTGCAGCTCTCTGGACTTGCGCAGGTACACATTGCTAGAGGTCCGAAATGAACACTATTGCCCGAGCAATGTCCTGGCAAGTGTCTGCTGTGAAAGTGCAGCACACGCCCCGCACCGACATTGATCCAGAGAGGCTGAAAAGAGGGTTATTCTTTGCTTTGCTTTCCCTGACAGCTGTCAAAGGGAAGGCAAAGCCACACAAGGTTCTGCTTGCAAAGGAAGTGGCCAGATCCTCCTCCTCCTCCTCCTCCTGCTGCTGCTGTGGGTGGACCTCCTGGTACTTCCCAGTGTCTTGCATTTGAGATCCTATGTGTGTGGGAAGCTGGAAAAGTACAAGCCACCCTCTTATGAGAGCATGGAGCATTCCTAGCTAGCTGTCAAAATTAAGTCTTCCATTTGAAATGGGTTGGCAGTGTTGGTGGAAAAACAATTTTCAAGCCAACAATATTTTTACATAATCAAGATCAGGGTATACAGCTCTGGAGGTTGTTTTCAACCCCCTGAAACTCACTGAGCACCGTTTGCTGCTGAATTTTTTCAGCCACAAAACCCCTGATGGTTTCCCAGAAAATGTCAGCAGAAAACCACTGCATTTTCTGCAGAAAGAACATGCACTTTGGCTGCTGTTTGTTTCGACCACTTCTATGTGGCTAAATAGTGAGAAAAATCCCTACATGGTTGCCATATAAAGGTATGGTTAATGTAATTATGGGCCAGGCAAGTCTGGCAGACAAGGTGCGTTTTCAGGACGCATTTGAAAGGTGCCACATGTTCTGCTTCCCAAACTTTATGAGGGTGGTTTTCCACAAAGTTGGCACTGTGATTGAGAAGACCCACTGCTGAAGTATTACCTGGAGATGTTCCACTAATTCTGGAATGGCCATCAAGGCTTCTCCCTGAACAGTTGGGTATATGTAAGGGATGGAGGTCTCCTAGGTTTCCTGGTGCAAAGGTGCTTCAGCCTTTGCACAACCACCATGCCATCACCATGGCCAGGTAGCTCATACGCAGCCAGCACAGTTCTTCAGTGCAGGTCTTATGTGAGCACAGCTGGGCATCCCAGTGAGCACTCCAGCTGCTGTGTTCTGCTCCATCTGCAGCTTCTGGACCAAGCCCCGGGTAGCCCACATAGAGCATGTTGCAGCAGTCTAAACTGAGAGGTTACAGTGGGTGGATCACTGTGGCCAGGATGCCCCTGTCTTGGAATGCACACAGCTGGCATACCAACCAAAGCTAGCATGACTCCAGGCCTTGAAGCCACCCAGGCCTTCAGTGAAAAAATGCATTCAAGAATACTCCCAAATTACCCACCTTTTCCTTCAGTGGGAAAATGACCCCATCCGGAACAGGCAAAGAACCCAGTTCCTGGAGCTGAAATTACCAGCCCATAGGGTTTCTGTCTGAGCAGAATTCAGCTTCAGTTTAATAGCCCTCATCAAATTTATTTATTTATTTAATATCTTTCTCACCCTTTTTCTTGCAAAGAACTCAGAGTGGCTTACATAATACTCCTGCTGTTGCTCTCAATCTTATCCCCACAACAAGAACCCTGTGAGGTAGGCTGGGCTAAGAGCCTGTGACTGGCCCAGAATCACCCAGCTGACACCATGGCTGAGCGGGGACTAGAACCCAGATCGTCCAAGTCCCACACCTGTGCTCTTAACCATTGCACCACACCAGCGCTTCCTGCAACTGCATCTAGGCACCAGTTCAGAATGTGTAGTCTCTCCCAATTCATACCTTACCAAGAAATAGAGCTGGATGTCATCCACATACAAATGACAACTTGTCCCAAAGCTCCATATGGATATTTAATAACACTGGAAACAAGGTGGTACCTGGGGTGCCCACAGTTCACCTGCCATGGGACTAAGCTGCAGTCAACAACTGACTCCACAAATATGGACTGAACCACTGCAGAGCAGTGCCTCCAACACCCAGAAGTGGCATTCTTCTAGCCTGCAACTGAAATTCAAACTGCTGATACTGGGTATTTTGTAAGGAGGCAGGATGAATCTTGAAAATTAATAAATAAAACACACGTGCACATGGTGCAATAACTTCTAGAAAATCATTGAGTTTATTAATGTTCCTTATAAAATACTGATTTTTAAAACCTGAGATCTCCCAATGTCAGAATATCATTCATTATTCTGCAATCAAAGTGATTGCACAAATTATTTCATAGACTCCTTTGGGGTAATGTTTCCTTACTTCTTCTGATTAGGTCTTTTTCAGGGGCCTGACAGTGAATGCAGTGCGAGGATTCCCAATGAGTGCTGCCATGTTTCTTGGATACGATCTTTCACTCAAAGCCCTGAGAGATCAAGCAGAGACAGATTCTTGAATTCCAGGTCAGCATCATATAGTTATGTTGAATAATTTCATACCTTACCTATGAAAAAAACAAGAACAACAAAAGACTGTATATAGAAATACTTTAGGTACTGTATGGAACCCTTACTGATTCAGCTGAGGCACTGTCTACTGAAGCAAAAAGAACATACTTCCAGATAATGGACACAATACAGCACAGACCAAAGTGTTTAGGCATACAAGAAGCCATGTAACATTAACCAAAGCTGCAGTGCTATATATTCTCACTCCAGAGTAAGTGCACTGCATTTGCAGGCTTACATCTGTAAGTGCATGTGCATAAGATCAGACTGTAAACACCTGCACTGGGGATTGTGGCCAATAAGTAAAACACAGTCCATGAAACCGAACGTGATCTTTTCCATTAGCTTCCATAGGAAATGAATTCCATTCAGTTGTGGTCAACCCACAATCAACTTACCGGTTTACTTTTTATTAACAGATGACCCAAGCATTAATTCAATTGAGAAGCAGTGCTAAGAAGTGGGGACAACGTTTCATCACTTCTTTTAAATGTGCTATGCGGTTAATTCTGGATCAGTATTCAGCTTTGGACACAGGAAAAGAAAATAAATGCTAAAAAGGCTCTCGGCATAGAGTGGCAGACAAAAGATTACTCACTCTGGGCAATGCCCAGTAGAGCTATTACAAGAGCACTTGCCATGCTTCTGGAAGCATTTTCTTTCCCAAGTAAAAGCTTGAAATTCTAATATTAACAACAGCAGCAGCAGCAGCAAGCTGACCTGCTCACCGGGGACACAAAAATGGCATGTGCGCCACAAATACCAGTTTTACAGTGAAGAACTCTCTGATAATACACTGCTTACTTAGGTTATTTTTTTCACATTTGCTTCTTTTTGTCCTTAAGGAATTTGCTGCACCTGACCAATGCTTCCGCTTCCTGAGCCAAATCAACATCACTGCCTTGATGAGGAATTTATTTCACACACATGGAACCTGCACTGAAGAAATGCTACAAAACTTCCTGTTTGTGAACAGTAATTACAGATGGACTATGGACTCAGTTGAAGAGTTTCAAGCATGCACCCACAGAATTCTGATCCAAATCTTCATCTGAAATCTTTCATTCTGCAGCCAAAGGGAACTTTACAATGGGTATGGCTGCCCGGCAATGACCACAAGTTACGTACTGCTGAGGCAAGAGTGCAACCAGTGGAACCAGCTGCCTAGAGAGCTGGTGGGCTCTCCCACACTAGAGACATTCAGAAAGAAACTGGACAGCCATCTGAGTGGGATGGTGTAAATTGGTGTCTTGCAACAGCAGGGAATTGGACTCGAAGGCCTTCATGGGCCCTCCCAATTCTACTATTTTATGACTGTATGAACCTGTTTTGTCTGGGCTAAGCCACTGAGGTCACAGTCTAGATCTACTGTATCTGTATGAGATAAATTATGGCCCATTTGCTTGAAGAATCCAAAAAAGTACCACTTCTATGTGCTTAAACGGTCTTCTCACTCCTTGTCTTCATATGACTGAATACTACATACACTGGAGACAAGAAGGGATGTAATCACTTCCTTAAGATTTCCAGCACTTAGCTAACACAAATGTAGTTTTGATTCCCCCAACACACACGTCCTTCAGTATGACACAGTGCTGTTGTCCTCTCTGTTTATTTTTGATAGAGCATGGTCTATTTCACTGAATGAGATAGCAAATGCAAGACGAGTGTGCCTTCAAGTAAAACGAATAGAAGCACTGCACATCAGCAGTCCATTTGGCCCTTCCACAGGTCCCCAAGTCTGACTTCTCGAGTCTAGTTTGACTCCTGACAGCAAAAGGCCAGCAGATGACTAGCAGGTGCAGAATCAGAGCAGATCACTTCTGTTAGGATCTAGCCTAGCTGTTTCTTGAAGGAAGCTTGAGCATAACAGAAGCAAGTCTGCAGGCCAAACCAAAACGAGTTTCGTGCTTGGACTGCAGCCACTCCAAGTATCAGGATACAAGTGGAGAGTAAACGCTAAACTGCATCAGTTTGGTTGGGAGCAGCATCTGATGAGGTGAGATGAGAAAGGACCATGGTTAGGATTCAGACTCAGAGAAGGGATATATAGTACATGATTGGAAGGCCTGGCAAAGGAAGGTGAGACAGAAGAAGGTGAAGGACAAGCTGGATGGCCAGTTTGCTTTTTGCATTCCACTGTAGACAAGCCAGACCATACCTTGTTCTTTCTCTGTTTTTGGTACTGCAAAGAGTGACCAAGCCAAGTGCTTTGGATGAAATAACCATGAAAATGCTGTAGGATGTTATGATAAGCATGTCAGCACAGCTCCACTACATCACAAATACATTGTAAAGGATAGTTGGGAATTCCGTTCTGTTTGCATTTGAAGACAACTTAACTACACATGAACCAGAATGTTGCAGTCAAGTCTGTCAATTAAAATGTGCACAAAATGTGTTTTAGGAAAAGTTTTGCCAAAAATGTGAGTTTTAAAGAAAAAAATGTTTACAAGATCTCTATATACTATGGGGAAAGGCATATATTTTTAATGGGGCATACAAAAATGCATATATTAATAGAAATGCACATGAAAACATGTATAAAGTTGCATTGATATTTTACAACAAAACCAGCAAATTGAGGTGGAAATGGGTTGGAATGAACTTCACAGTGGAAATTCAACCAACTGAATGAACGTGAACTTGAGAAATTTGCCCTTATGTCTACATGAACTCTATTGGGAGACTGACAGATACCTCCCCTTTGGTATTACTGGATGCCTCAGTAGACTTTGGTATCATGAACCACAGTAGTGTTTTGCACGATTTAAAGGATCTGTCAGGAATGTCAGGATGCCCATCCTCATTTTCTGGGCAGAACAACAGAGGGTGGTAGCTGAAGTTGCTGTTTCAGGATTGGTGTTACCACCAGATGGAGCTTGATGAATAAAGGAAGTAATGCCATGAGATCATTGGGTCTGGGGCCCACTTCCCTAGGGGCCCATCTCCCCTGCATCAGTTGTGGTCAGGACATCCAGCTGTTATCTGTATGCCACTGTAATGTTGTGCCACATTGGAAGGCTGGCAGGCAGGAATAGGGCCTTTGGGGTGAGGAGGGCTTCTTAATTCCATTTGCAAAAGTGGTAAGCTTCTTCTTAATCTTCTGGCTATACATTTTAGTTAGTGTTTTTGCATGCTTTAATTTCAGGGGGATGTAATACATATTTGATATAAGCTGCTTTGATCACTGGGGAAAACACTGTGAAATATTTTAACTGAATAAATAAATTAATGAGGAATTGATCCAGGATCTTTGATTGCCATGGTCAACTGTTAAGCTGGAGACACTTTCAGGTTTATCCCCAATCATAAGATGTCAGCCAGGGGTGACATGGCTCTTGCCAGGAGCACACATGTCACTATAGGTGTCTGTTAAAGAAATAAATGTGCATGTCTCCTCCGAAGAATTGAGTGGAATTACAGGGAACCACTCTGACAAGAAGTCATTATCATGTAGAACTGTGCGGGGGTAAATCTCGATTAAATTAACTTTTTTGCGTATTTCTGTCACCCAACATTAACTGAAGCATTTGAGAATGCACATTCAAAGTAGGTTGGTTTTTTTCCTGCCGGTCACCTTTGCTGAATTGGAAACCAACATATAGAAGCCTTCAGCTTTATCTAGCATGCTTCCAAACAGTGGGCTTCTAGCACTAGCTATGAAAATGGCCCTGTGCAACAATTCTGGTTTGTTTGGGGGTTTTGTTTTGCTCTAATGCATTTTCCACAGTAAGGAAAGAGATTGATGAAGCAGAAGAAAAACATGGGATGGCTACAAGTTAAATAAATGCCAGTGTCTGTATTCCCCCATAAAACATTGTGCTGGCTGGAACAATCTCCTGACCTACATTCACGTGTGGTTTGGTGGCACAAAGTAACTCAGCAATGGGCTCCACACTTGGTGGGGGGAGCCCACGTATGAAGAGACAACATGATAGAAAAATATGTATGAATATCACGGAGATCGTGATCTGCCTTTGCTCTTTCAAATTTCCTGCTGCTGATTTGGGGCATAGCCCAGTCAAAGTTAAGCACTTTGATTTCAGCCCTTGTAGGTCAATAGGCACTCTCTGTATGCTGCCTTCTATGCCTCAGTCGCTGAGGATCAGATCTCTTTCTTCTATTTCTGCAGCAAAGTATTGTGGTTTAATGTGATCAGCACAGCCCGCCCAGAGCTTTATCTCTTGAAATGCACGTTATCATGCCATAAAAGCAATGAGCAACACCATATGCTCCTTTTGTGGTTACCTTTCTGCAACATCTTCATAACTACATACTATAAACTCAGGCAAACTGTTTTAAACCGGGCAAAATGTCGCATTCATGGTTTCTATCCATGAAGCACTTTATTTCCATGTGGTTTTCCTTTCCCAAGTTTCACCTCTTCCATTAGCTCAGATGGTGATCTTGGGCAATCTTCTTTCTTTACGTTTCTCTACATGAGGCATATAAGCTGGTACTTTACCAAGGTTTCTTCCATTTTCATTTGTGGAGGAAGAACACCTTTTACGTGAGATTTTCCCCCTGAGGATTTTCCTCTCTGCCTTGCTTTATGTTCCATTACACAGCACAAGGTAGTGAAATAGTATGCAGCAGAATTGTGAAAATAGACTAGGTTTCTGTAGTAAGTAATTTCTCATTTATACAAGATTTTTGTCACTCAAAAGACAAAGCCACAGAAATGTCTGGAAAACTTGGGAGAGGCCCTGGTTAGGACCCCCATAAAATTCTGTGCTTGAGGTAGGGCAACAGGACACTAAAACCACCCTGCCTTGTTCTATGTCTTCTTCCACCAATGCTGAGATTCAAGAAAGTAGAAGTACTTTTTCAGTTGCATAATTAACTTTATAGGGTTTGTCCAGGATTTCTTTAGTATTGAGAGAAAACCTATTATAACAAAACATATGACAAGGTTTTCTACCTACACTGGAAAGCTCCCATGCATTCCAGCCCTGGTACTGGTATACTCAGGAACTGATGAGGCACTGAACAA